GCCTGGGTGGCTTGGTCAGTTAAGCGTCTGACTTCTGCTCAGGTCATGATCTCACAGTCCGTGAGTTCGAGCCCTGCGTTGGGCTCTGTGCTGACAGCTCAGAGCCTGGAGCCTGTTTCAGATTCTGTGTCTCCCTCTCTCTCTGCCCCTCCCCTGTTCATGCTTTGTCTCTCTCTGTCTCAAAAATAAATAAACGTTAAAAAAATTTTTTTTAATAAATAAATAAATAAAAACAAAAACAAACAAAACAAAACAAAACAACAAAAACAAAGATGTGTAGGTGTGGTTTTGTTTAATGGAGTGAACCCCAGTAACAGCAATAGACAACAAATGAAATTTTAAGAGAATTCTACTGGTAGAAACACCGCCTGCCAGCTTGAACTGGAAGGGTCAGAAGCAGTGGAAAAGGAAAAAGACTTTGGACTCTCAAATTCCTACCAGCAGGAAGTAGGCTGAGAAAACAAAACCTGCAAAGATGGGTTATCTTTTGTGGACAAGGAAGAGGGCTCAGACGATGGAACCAAGAGCCCAGGAGGTGAAGCCCAAGACTCATGAAGAATTGGCTACAACAGGGACTTAGAAATATTGTTACACTAACTAACATAAAATCAGACCTACTGGACAACCCCTCAGAAATATATAATTTATCAATTCTGACTCAAGAAGAAAAAGAAAACCTGAGAAACTATAACCAGTAAAAACTTTGAAACCACTGATTGGATTAAAGAGGAAAACCGTCAAGCAAAGCTTCAGATCTACACTGCTTGTGAGCCTTTAATAAACTCCCAGAGAACAGACAATCCATATCTTAGGTAATTTGTCCCAAAGAATAGAAGTAGAAGGAAACCCCCAACTCACATTATGAGGTTGCTTAAACTAGAAATGATGGTAGGCAAGAAGAAAATTTGCATCTGGAAAATCACTTAGGAGCATACACGGCAAAAATTCTAAATAAAATGTTAGGAAATTCAATCTATCAATATATAAAATAAATAGATAAATTGTGACCAGGATAGTTAATCCCAGGATAATCCAAGGATGCAATAACTTTGGAAGACTATTTAATATAATTCACCATATAAACAAATAGGTTTATAAGAGGAAAAATGATCATCTCAAAAATACAGAAAAATTATTTCGTGAGTTCTAACCCCTATTTATGAATAAAAACTCTTAGGAAATTGGGGCACCTGGGTGGCTCTGTCAG